AAATAACATGCTTTTGGTGTGATTTTAGTTTTAGTCAAATTACTTGTGTTATCTTCTCTACAGACAATAAGCCATGATTAGAAAATTTTTGCCTTTGCATCTTTAATAAAACTACTTGCAAGGTCACTTCATGCTTGTTACATGTATGTATTCCTGTTTTCCCATTCCATCATTAACCTGGCCCCTCTCTCCCCTCCCCAGTAGGTCCAGATGACTTGTACATTGTAGAACCTCTAAGGTTTTCTCCAGAGAAAAAGGTACAGTGTCTGTTCCAACTGCTGCTGTTGGCTGTGACGGCCGCCGTACTTTTTAAGTGCTGTGTGTTTCCTTCTGTCAGTCAGTCTGTGCAATACGTGTTAGAGCAGGGCATGTCTTCTTCATCAGTTACTGATTTCTGATCTCTGTGCAAGTAGCCAAGAGAAGGGAGCAGCTGAAGAGTGTTAAGACTCAGCCCACTTCAAATACCTGTTAACCACTTCTTTGCTGACACCGGGCATATTTTCTGACTTGTTATAAATACTTTATTTAGATAAGTAGTTATGATGAATATTTGTTTCTTCCGAATCCTAGTTCCTTCATTCCCTGTTAAACTTTCCCACCCTTTGATCCATTTGTGTAACCTCACTGTCTGGCACAAAAGTGGTTAATATGGCTTTATATTATTAGATGTATCTTTGCTTTGTCTGCATGTTTTTTAATCATTCGCTCCTCCTGTCTTATGTTCTCCCTGTAGAAAAAACGCTGCAAGACAAAGTCGTTGGACAAGGTTGAGATTCTGAAGGCATCCGATTCTGATGCTCCGCTCACAAACGGGGGTATTAAGTGCAACGGTTTCGAACCGTGCCTCCCTGATCCGCCGCCACCACCCCCTCCTCCTCCTCCGCCTCCTCCTCCTCCTCCTCTCCCACTGCCTCTCCTTCCCTCTGCAGAGGAGGTGTCATCACTGCCCACTTGCACCTCCAAGGAGTTCCCCTCGGAGACCAGCAGCTGCAGCTCATCCACCCACTCTGAGGAGTCCTACACGAGCCGCCTCCCCCCTCCCTCTCCCATCTTCGCCTCCACTGGCCTGTGCAACGGTCACGAGTCCCTACCTTTCCCCCTCCAGCAGCCGCACACCATGTCCCGTCAGGAGAAGCGCTCGATGAAGCGGCGAAAGTCGCGGCAGACGGAGCTGCAGTTCCCTACCATGCCGAAAGGGAGCGTCGCTTCTCTGCCCAGCCTGCAGCAGCTTATGAAGGGAAACAAGGAGATCAGTGTCGGGACCATCGGGGTGACAGCCGTCACCGGACATGTCTGAATACTCATACTTTGACACAACTTTCTATTCACACACACTATATGGTAGCAGACTTGTGTAGTAAGGAGATGAGGTCTTACTGCCTCCCAAAGAACCAATTTTCCCATGAGCACCCAGGCGCACCGTGGAACTGAAGTGGCTATGGCAGCAGTAGCTCCACATCATCCAGTCCTTACCCACTCCTGTCAAAGACCTGTTTACGGTTATGTGCCTTTATATCTGTTCTCGACCTTTTAATGCTAAAAAACGTGACATTTAATGAATTGATGATTTGGAAAGAGAGAGACACCGTGGTGGGGAGTGAAACATTACTACAAGTCAGATCCATTGAAGTGTGTTCAAGATGTTTTTTTTTTTTTTTCCTACCGGATAAGCACATTGTCCCATGACAGTTGAGCACCAGTGAGCTTTTATCCCCACTCTGAGCACAGTGAGGAGAGGTCCTGGCCTCAACTCTACGTTCCTTCACCTCCGGGAACATAACACAGTAAAGTATTAGGCTGCTCTTTTGGATGAAATGTGTCGTAATGAGAGGACTGCAGAGCATGACAAACTACTCCTCTTATTCTTATTTCCTTCTGTCTTCCATCACCATCATTTAATCCATTCTGTCTTTGTATTGCCTCCTAACTGCAGGCATTTGTATGGGACCAGAGTGTAAAACTTACATTGTACACCAGACTCTCCATTTCTCTTCCTCTGTCTCTGTCAGTCTGTTCCAAACCAATCATCAGAGCTGAATGAAGAACATCATTTCACATGGGGTGAAATAGTCCGAATGTGTTAGTCCTTTCAGTTTAGTTTCCTATTTAACCTAATATGACAAATACAATTGTAGCAGTTTGTAGATCCTATGAGTTCAAAATGAAACTGTCCCCACTCACTTAGTTTGGGCTGAGCCTGAAAAGCTTGCTCACACACACTAAATTAAGAGAAATTGCACTGCTACAGTAGATATTGTGACTGCGAGGAAGGTAAAATTGGTAAAACAGGCTAGAGGCAAGCCACAAGGTTTTTATTGTCTTTTTCTGCTATATTTTTATTGTTTTTTCATCCATAACTGAGCCATGCTCCTCTCTTAACGTTGCTGGTGTGTTTTGTTTGAATTATTCTCACATCCAGTATGGAGGCAAAAGCTTTCTGTTCGGGGTACAGTGTACTGTAGGAGCACATTGGGTGGCAAAGCTGAATGTTTACACTTCCGTCACACACGCATATCCTACTGGGACCCTGCAGCTGAGTCTGACAGGCTGGTTTTATTTATCTATTTATTTATTTAAATGACTACAGATTTTTCTAATTAAGGCACTGGCTTGCCAGTCTCCCAATCCTGCAGTGTCACAGTAGTTTATCCACGTGAGTATGTTACATAGAAATATTACAGTGCAATACACTCAACCGTATTTACATATGACCATACATATGATTGCTTAACCTTTTTTTTTTTTTTTTTGCATATATTTTAGTTAAGGCTCTGACATTATAACAGACCCTAATTCTGTTTGCCATAGCCTGAAATATCAGACAAGTATGATAGCAGTCACATGTCCTGCAGCAGCAACAAGATAATTGAGTGTTGATTTAGAATAACTACAGGCTTCTTGGGATCATCACACTGCTGCTTTTGTATATGTTCAGAGCTGCTGGGTGGTTAAAAGTAGTGGAAAGGGCTAGACTGAGTGTTTATTATGGTCCCGTCTTCTGTCTGCTTGTTTCAGCATCGTTGTTGGATCGCTGAGGAACCGATTTTTTAACTCACCCCATTGAAGATTTCATGACTCACCTACGTTAACATCCTGTTTAATGTTTAAACACTGTAGGGAGTTGCATATGTGAAAGGGAGTATCCATTTGTTGCTTGTTTTTAGATAATAAAACGTAAATGCATTTTCTTTATGTACAGTATGCGGTTTCTGACTGGCTCTGTGTGGTTGTACATTTTGACAGAGACTGAGAATTTTCTTCAAACTACTCTCCCAAAAGAGCATCATTACATCTTCTGACCAGCTTCTACAGCTCCTCTTTGTCTTTACATATCTTTATCTACCAAGGTCACCTTTGACCTCCTCACCCTACATTGCACGACTTTCTGTGACTGTGAAGAAAAGTTTTAATATGCCTGCTTTTATTAACCACTCTAAAATGTTCCTATTAGGAGCTTGAAATGCTTTATCAGTCTACATGCTTGCTCTCCTGACTAGCTAATCTTTCTGTGCATTTTCACTCTCATTGTACTCAGTCTTTAATTCACTTGTCATTGCTCTTTGACTTTATGTGTTCACCCCACCTTGAATGGTAATTGTGGTTTGTTAGGAAAAGAATTTGAATTGTTGAATAAAGGGAATGCAGCAAAGATGGGTATGATTTGGAACACTATTAATGTGATTCTACATGTTCCACAAGCCGAGCAAATCATGGTTTATAACCCTTTTTGAATGTGTATGATATGTTATGTGTGTGTGTGTGTGTGTGTGTGTGTGTGTGTAAACCTGTATGCATGTGAGAATTGTTTTGTTTTTGATCTCAAGTATGTGTGTGTCTGTGTTATGAGGAAGACTACTTTGAATCTACTTATCCCATAACACAGCAAATAGGGAAAATGCCCATGGAGAGAAATTCTAGGAGCTCATTGTGCACTTGTATGACTCCTCATGCCTTTTTGTTTTTCTACCTTATATGTCAAGTGCTATATTTTCTTTTTTTTTTCTCTCTCTCTCTCCCACTGTTTCTCTCTGTGATTACTCTGAAGAGCTGCACAGTACTTTTGAGCAGGAGTGAGTTACTACAAAACTGTAGTGCCATTAGAAACTGTGAATTTCTAAATAAAACTTTTTTTGTTGTCTTTCACCTTGTCTTCGGCTTTTATTGTGGGTGCCTTCTTATTCAGTCATAGTGTGGACACACATTTAAATCTTAAATTCTGCCTAGTGCATAAAGTGGGCATTGATTATGAGAGTAGCCACAGAGGGTTACATGTACTAATACAATATTAAAATAAATGCACATTCCATATGTCCTGCTAACTTTACCTGATTTACTGATAATGCCAGTACTTAAACTGAATTATTTCAATCAGAGTCCATGACCAGGGAATCTGCTGAAACTTATTGGACCACTTGAGTACAACCACAAAACAGGCTTTTATAAAACAGATTAAATGAAATGTGAAATAAATCCAGCAGGGCAGTTTGGGTCTATATGTGAGGCACCATTCGTTTAACTATTCCAACCAACTGGAGGAAGTTAAAAGAATATTGCTATACAACATTTTGCAGGTTAACCTAACCTTCTGCTGCTGGAACCTAAACTTTAGCATTTTGTTCATGCTGGAGATGTAGAAGACAGATTGTCTACATGTTTAACACCAACACATTACAGTAGGACACTAAACAAAGTATAGGCAACTATGGATCTGTAGCGCATGTTTTCTTACTGCAGCACTGCACAGCTGTTTGTGAACAATATTAACAGAAATATGATACTAGATAAATACTGGCAAAGGAATCTGTAACAGAAGACAGACATTGTGACCAGAATATCTCTACTTCTGAACATTTTGAGTCTTTGAGGCCTTGGGACAAAATAATGGACTATAAAAACGGTAAAGAAGAACATGGGTTGTTATTCGCAATAAGATTAAACCACAATAAAGCAGTGCGGACATCCCACCACACGGTGTCGCTGTGGGTAGAGCTGACCGCTGTTTCCTTCCAGGCTCCTCTCCGTTGTTTACCTTTATCCAACAACATGGAGGACGAGGTGGATGTTGATATCGAGGGAGACGAGTTTGAAAACAGTGTTAGGTGAGAATACTTACAGTTTGTGGTGCATTGACATTTAAACGGTATGTTGGTGTTTCGTGCTGTAGACCTGGGAGCAGTGTTCAGCCGCACAGAGCAGGCTAACAGCTACAGCTGTCCTCCTGTGTGTGTAACAGCACAGTAATGTCTGCTCGGCCCCTCAGCTGCTCTCTTACTGACAGCTTCTCTTCCCTGTGTCGCAGTGAGCTGGATGGACGAGGTTTAGTCCAGGAGCAGTTCATACAGTCTGCGTGGAAGAGCAGCGCTGGGATACTGGTATGAATGCATGCAGCGGATAGTCCTTCAGCTATGTGACTTGTTATTGCTGGT